AATATTCCCTATTATTCACACACCTACATTAATGTTCCCTATTCTTCACACACCTACATTAATGTTCCCTATTCTTCACACGCCCACATTAATATTCTATTTTCTTCACACACCTACCTTAATGTTCCCTATTCTTCACACGCCCACATTAACACTCCATATTCTTCACACATCTACATTAACATTCCTATTCTTCACACACCTACATTAATATTCCCTATTATTCACACACCTACATTAATGTTCCCTATTCTTCACACGCCTACATTAATGTTCCCTATTCTTCACACGCCTACATTAATGTTCCCTATTCTTCACACGCCCACATTAATAATCTATATTCTTCACACACCTACATTAATGTTCCCTATTCTTCACATACCTACATTAATGTTCACTATTCTTCACACGCCCACATTATTAATCTATATTCTTCACACACCTACATTAATGTTCCCTATTCTTCACACACCTACATTAATGTTCCATATTCTTCACACACCTACATTAATGTTCCATATTCTTCACACACCTACATTAACACTCCATATTCTTCACACATCTACATTAACATTCCCTATTCTTCACACGCCTACATTAATATTCTATTTTCTTCACACACCTACATTAATGTTCCCTATTCTTCACACGCCCACATTAATATTCTATTTTCTTCACACACCTACATTAACATTGCATATTATTCACACGCCTACATTAATGTTCCCTATTCTTCACACGCCAACATTAATGTTCCCTATCCATACATATAATCTACAGTTTGCCATTCTCACAGCTGTAGTATTGTACTCCTTTGTTCAGGGCCTCACGTTATTTGTGTGTGTATATGTTTCCCTCCAAAACGATTTTATAAACTATATTTTTTAAATTATTACTTATTTATGATACTTTGTTAATTAACACTATAATAGTAACAATGCCTCGAGACTTGGAGATTACATTTACAGGAATATTATCATTTCGAATAATGCCGCGTATCTGTGTGCAAGATAAGTGTTTGTGTTTTTTTCTTGATTGGTGGAATAACTTAAAGAACATAACTTTGAATAATCAACCCCTAGTGGAGCTACAAGCTATTAATAAGATTCGTTAAGTTCTGTTAGGAACAATTTATCTTAAAAAGCTTTAAAATTACAGAAAACTTATTTTAGAAATAAGTTAAAACCAGAACTCAAATAATTTCAGAACGAACTTATATATTAATAAAGCCAATCTGACTGACTCGAGAACATGAAATTTTGGGCAATGCTTAATGTTGACAATTATGTTAAAAACAGACTTTGTTCGAGTTCAGTTTCGTAGAATAGCGTAGTAGTGTTATTTTTTCTTTACAAAATTGTGCCGCTGTAAATCAAAATGGCCAAATATAGAGGCTACTTTTTTACATCTGTGGAAGATCTTTATGCTACGAGTCGGGCCAGATGGTTAGGGCGCTCGACTCGCAATCTGCGGGTCGCGGGTTCGAATCCCCGTCACACCAAACATGATTGTCCTTTCAGCCGTGGGGGCGTTATAATGTGACGGTCAATCGCTCTATTCGTTGGTAAAAGAGTAGCCCAACAGTTGGCGGTGGGTGGTGATGACTAGCTGCCTTCCCTCTATTCTTACACTGCTAAATTTGGGACGGCTAGCGCAGATAGCCCTCGTGTAGCTTTGCGCGAAATTCAAAAACAAACGGAGCCCCCAGTGGGACGGTGGTATGTCTGCGGACTTACAACACTAGAAACCGGGTTTCGATACCCGTGGTGGGCAGAGCACAGATAGCCCTTGTGTAGCTTTGCGCGAAATTCATAACAAACGGAGCCCCCAGTGGGACGGTGGTATGTCTGCGGACTTACAACACTAGAAACCGGGTTTCGATACCCGTGGTGGGCAGAGCGCAGATAGCCCTTGTGTAGCTTTGTGCCTAATTAAAAGCAAACAAACTATGCTACGAGGCTAAGTTGAATTAATTAATGACAAACAACAAACTAATGATTTTGTTAATTACCTAAACAATTAACTCACCCATTTCCTACAATCTGTATCAGGGAAAGGAGAATTTCCGGAGCGCTTGATCCTAACGCCATCAAGGTCAAGTTCGCTACTGTGTCGTTCCATATTGGCACTTCTATCACCTCTGGCTGAGTTTCGGAAGACAGAGTAATCTTCCTCGTCTTGCTGGTGATCTTTTCGATTGCACACATAAAAATATCAGCGATGATGGCCACTCCGAGGAAGAAGTAGATTAGACCCAAAAGATAAAAAATAACGCGCATTTCACGTGTCCACGTGTCTTCGTTGAAAATGGGTAACAGCAACCCCTTGTTACAGTAGGTGAAGTTGTCTTGCATCATTCTGTCGTATGAACTCGAGATTCGATTCGGGTTTTAGGTTCAGTTTATCTCCTTTAAGTAGAACAGCAAAAACCAATAAGAAAAATAAGAGACATAACTATTACTTGACAATAACAACAGAATGAACCCAACTATTACTTGACAATAACAACAGTATGAACCCAACTATTACTTGACAATAACAACAGAATGATCCCAACTATTACTTGACAATAACAACAGAATGATCCCAACTATTACTTGACAATAACAACAGAATGATCCCAACTATTACTTGACAATAACAGCAGTATGAACCCAACTAGTACTTGACAATAACAACAGAATGATCCCAACTATTACTTGACAATAACAACAAAATGAACCCAACTAGTACTTGACAATAACAACAGAATGATCCCAACTATTACTTGACAATAACAACAAAATGAACCCAACTAGTACTTGAAAATAACAACAGAATGATCCCAACTATTACTTGACAATAACAACAAAATGAA